ACTGCAGCCGAGTGCTGTCCTGTGCTGGGGGACCACAGGGCCCCCTTCTTGGGTATCCCCCAAGGACTGGAGAGTTTTATTTAGATGGGAGGCATGTACTGGCATGCTTCGTGTGATGGTGCTAAGTCTGACACGTTTGCTCTCATTGCCCCACAAGCCACGTCCTCGCCAAGAACAGCAGGGCCCAGAGGCTTCAAACTCCCCTGAGAGAGGCCAGAGTCAGTATTTTCAGCTTTGGGGCCCAGTCTCTTGAGTGTTCAACTTGTGTGAAAGCACACACTATTGGAAAATGAATGGCTGGGGCCATGTGCCAATAAAACTTTATTCATAAAATCAGTGGCGGGTAGAGTTTGCTGGCTCTTACATAACCACCCCACAACAGCCATGCAGAGCAGACTGTATGTTGTCTGTAGTTACACCGAGTGTGAGTATCCAGCAGGTGCTAGGGGAAGGGGGTGTTGGACCCTGGGCTACCGCTGGAGGGGCCGCTTGCCATCCAGGGTGCCGGGTAGGGTTGGGTCCAGGCCTCTCTGCTGGGGGAACCCTCCACTGTGCTCCCTGGTGGGCATCTCTGGGTGTACCCGAGAACTTGGGATTGACAGCCCCCAAAGCCCAGAGCCTGGAGCCTGCTGAGACCCACCGAGCCAGGCCCCCGGGGGCGGGGCGGGGGGCAGGCGGGTCTCATCCCCCGCATGTCCTTTCCATGTCCTCCACAGACCTGGCTCCAGGCATCGACGAGATCTATGAGGAGAGCCAGCAGGTTTTCCTGGCCCCTGGGCACCCACAGGACGGGCAGGTGGTCTTCTACAAGGTGAGGAGACACAGACCCGCCCAGCGCATGCAGGCCGGGCCCCTCCGCTGGGCCCCTCGGCTGCTCTAAGCCCTCGTGCTCTTGCAGATCAGTGTGGACCGCGGCCTGAAGTGGGACGAGGCTTATGCCAGGTCTCTGGAGCTGACGGGCACCAACGATGGCTTCTACCTCTCCTTAAAGGTGGGCGGCTGGGTGGCCGCCCGGGTCCCCAAGGGCAAGACCTCGGCGGAGGGGAGCGGGCAGGGGAGGGGCAGGGGAGGGAGGGCAGCAGCCCCCACCTCCCCGCCTCATGCACATGCCTTCCCAGGTTCGGGGCAACAAGCTGAGCTGCCTCCTGGCCGAGCAGAACCGCGGCAAGCACTTCACCGTGTACAAGCCTAACGTGGGTCGGCAGAGCCAGCTGGAGACTTTCGACAGCCTGTGCCGGAAGTTCCGCCGGGTACGCCTGGGGCTGAGGGGTCTGGGTGCGGCCGTGGCGCAGGGCGCCTGTTGCTCCGGGCGCCCCTGGCGGGCCCTCCGTGTGCGGGTCCCCTGGGGCCCCGAGCACTGGGGGGCGTGGCGGCCGGCGGGGGGGGGGGGGCCAGGTGGTCACGTGGCTGCGATGTGCCAATAAAACTTTATTCATAAAATCAGTGGCGGGTAGAGTTTGCTGGCTCTTACCCTGCTGGGTCCATGTGTATCGTGCACATGCGTGTGTGGTTGTGACTGTGGGTATGTGTGGGTGTGCATGTGCGTGTGCGCCTGACCGGGGCCCCCACAGGTCGCCCTGGCCGTCCCAGCCTTCGGGCACTGTCATCCGTGCCGTCACTGCCCGGTGGCTTCTCTGAGACCCCCCCTTGAAACTCCTGGGAAAGCTGCGGTGGGCAGGGCAGGTTGCTCTGCTCCGTCCAGGGGCAGCCAGGAGTGGCCCAGACTCCATTCTCAGCCCACATGGGCTCCCCCACGGGCACACACGTCAGCCTCTGTGTGGGTTGCCCTGAACGAGCCCC